GGAACAGTAAATAAGGAAGATTAAAGATGAACATGCAAAGGCAGGTCTGATGCTGAATATAAAGAAAACAAAAATAATGATCAAAGAAGAAATACATAAATTCAATCTAGACAATGAGGAAATTGAAATAGTTAAAGAATTTCCATATCTAGGATCAAACATTGACCAGAATGGAGACTGCGGTCAAGAAATAAGAAGAAGACTAGGAATGGGAAGGGCAGCTATGAAAGAAATGGAAAAGATACTGAAGAACAAAGATATACAACTGAGCACTAAAGTTAGAATCGTTCAGGCCATTATATTCCCAGTTACCATGTACGGATGTGAGAGCTGGACAGTGAAGGAAGCAGATAAAAAGAAAGTCAACTCATTTGAAATGTGGTGTTGGAGAAGAGTGCTTAGAATACCATGGACGGCCAAGAAGACAAACAAATGGGTCCTTGATGAGTCCAGGGCTCTCTTTGGAAGCAAAAATGACCAAGTTGAGACAATTGTACTTTGGCCACATGATAAGAAGGCATGGATCACCAGAAAAACCAATAATGTAGGAAAGGTAGAGGGTAGAAGAAAGATAGGAAGACCACAAACCAGGTGGATAGATTCAATCAGGGGGGTTATGGACAAGGGCTTGAAAGATCTGGACAAGGCAGTGGAAGATAGGGATTCTTGGAGATGTCTCATCCACAGGTCTCCATGAGTCAGAACCGACTCGAGGGCAGCTAACAACAACAACAAGCTGACTGGATTTCTTACCTTTAGGAAAGGGAATTACACACTCACCTCAGCATCCCAAGCTGCTGTTGATGCAACCACTGCAGACCTTTTACTGGTTCCAGGGGAGGGGTTGGGGAGAGCATTTGATAGTTGCCTAGTAATTGCCCGACATACTTCCAACATTACCTGTTAGTGGTTGGGGAATATGTTGAGTGGTTACTAAGCAGTCACCAAGTGCTTTTTTCCTCCCCTCCCTGGAGCAAGCAAAAAATCCAGTTGGGGAGCTCCTAATGTTGGGGATCCTCTTTTGATTATTTGGCTTGCACTTTAGCCCTAGAAAGCTCCTCTATTCACCAATAAAACATACTAGATCACTTTTCCATAAGCAAGAATAAAGAGATGGGGTGGGGGTGGGGAAATCACCAGTGCAGACCATGTACAAGCTGAAAAGGCACAGCCCTGAATCCAGGAAATGCAAGGCCATGCAGTGGTGTTTTTCATAAAGAATTTTGGGATATGTTCATGACTGCTGTCCACTGTAAGAGATATACTCAGTAATATCAGTGTATCTTTTTCACTTTATAATTAAATATATATGACTAAATCTAATGTCAGTTCAATTTAAAGCAGACCCATTTCAATGAATAGACTTCTTAGGATACATCCATGCTGTAGAAATTATGCAGTTTAACACCACTAAGTGGTACAGATCTATCCTATGGAATCCTAGGATTACTAGCTTTACAAGGAGTTTAGCCTTTTCTGTCAAAGAGTGCCTTACAAGAGTGCTGGTGCCTTACAGAACTACAAATCCTAGGATTCTTTCAGATGGAGCCATGACAGTTAAAGTAGTGCATTATTTCTACTGTGCAGCTGCACCCTTAGTCTCAACTAACCTGATTTCAATGAGTATATTCTACCTAGAATGAACCCTTGATTGAGCACATAGGAATGAAATTAATATGGGGAAAACCTCTCAATACCTAAAAATGATGCTGTGTTACTCTTCCAGTTTGGGAGTGATCAGTTAATACACTGCAGTTGTATCAGTTATAATATCTGCAACACTACATCTCAGACATAGTTTTTTTTATTTATACATACGGCATTCTTTGGGTTCATCTGATCCATCTCCACAGTCATCAACAGTGTCACATTTCCACCAGAATGGAATGCATTTGTCAGTCTTGCAGCGAAACTGCAGAAGAAAGATATAGCAAGAAATGTTAATAGTTTTTTGTTGGACAACTTAAATATTTTATAGAAATAACAATATAATCAGCATCTAGTATCATGGTTGGAACTTGCTGTTCCTTGAAATTTCTTTCTGGCTGCTATTTTTTCAGACATTTTAAAAAGTCAGGTTATCTTTTCAGAGTTCTTGAGTCAACCTTCCTTAAGGAATGCATTTTATTTATGCCAGTATGGTAACACTTTCTTGCTGTGTGCCTTTAAATTGTTACCAACTTATGGTAACACTAAAGTGAACCTGTCACAGGGTTCATCTTCCTCTGAGAATGAGAGTATTACTTGCCCAATGGGTTTCCATGGCCAAGTAAGGATTCAAAGCCTAATCTCCAGAGTCCAACATCAAACCGCTACACCACACTGGCTTTTAAACACTTTCCTATGATTATATAAATACAGATGAATTGCAATAATTTGTATTCAGAGGTGTACTTTCAAGAGTGTTTTATTGTACAGCAGGAGATCCAAATTTTAAACAATTCCCACTTAACCTAATTATGTTAAAAATAATTGATACAAACTATAACTACAGCCCAAGGCCCACTTTCCTTCCAGTAAATATTGCTGAACAGAGCAGAACTTCCTTCTCTTGTAAACATGAACAAGATTATGTTATAAGGTTCTAAACTCTGATACATTTCTTTCATTTCAAAATATCTAAATACATGAGAGAGGATTCTTACAAATGTTATGTTTACAAACATAATACGTACTTGGCTGGCTGTGCAATTTGATAAGCAGGTCTTATTATCAGCAGCAAGGTAAAAGTTGGTTGGACAAGCACAAGTATGTGATTTGGCAGGGGCTAGGAGACACAGGTGACTACATCCACCATTAGTTAATGTACATATATGTTTAAGCACTATGAATGCAAAAAAACAGTTGAAACATATCAGTAAGACTTATGGAAAAAACAACAATATAAAGCAACACTTCCCCCCTTAAATGTTTAGAGACACTGTTTCCAAATGAAGTGAAAAAGAAGTGGCATGGTGAAAAGTAATTTTTTATTTGTTTGCAATATATTTTTATATTTACATAAATATATTCATGCCAACTGGGTATAAAATATAGTTATTAAGAAATAAAACCATTTTTATAATTTCATACTATTTCAACCAATTCACAAATCTAGGGATTCTTTCAAAATATAGAAATACTTTGAAAAGGCAATACATTCTGAATTCTGCATGTGTCAACTCTTTTTAGATATCTAGAGAGAAGGCATTATGGAATACACTGCTATCCCACAGGGGGGATCTGCAAAATGTTATGTCCAGTACCAGTTCTGGGATGTTACAGTTTTCAATTCCATGTAAGATCTATTAACAGGACTGAGAAAGAATTGAAATTTACTAGGCTACGGGAAGCTGGTCATTAACGTGGTCCTACTCACAAACATCATATTTTCAATGAAACTAATATTTTCAATTACTTATTTTTAAGTTTTTTCTGTCTTTGTAAGAGTCTCAAGGATTATTGAAGTTTATTGATAATCAAAACTGTTAAAACTCTTAGCACATTTATTGACCATAATTGCTTGACTAAAAAAAAAATGTTAAAATTATATACCATTAGGTTGTCTATAGGAATGATAAACTTGGATATCAGTGATGGCATGCCATGAGTTAATCAATGCTACTTTATCTGCTCCAGAGGTTTTATGGGCACGGTTGACTGTCTTGGTTTTTCCATCAGTCCAGTATATGTAGTCTTCAAACAATGTGAGAGCAATCACCCCTAGAATATGTTGATTAGGGACTGCAACAGAATATAAAATGCATGTTAAATTTTGGTAGATTGCCAGTTAAAATATGTCATATTGCGAAAGCTGACAAAGACAACTACTATGTAACTTCTTCTGAATAATTGCTGTGACAACTTGACAAGCATGAAGGTTCTTTGTTACCATTTAAAAGTATCAGGCCATAATTAGATACATCAGTCCCATTTGATTAGGTTTTCTTGGCCTAGCCATCATGAGATGAGTACTATTTGTGCATAGCCTCCTACAGAATATGAGCTGCTACATACAGATGTGCCAACACACACACACACACAAAGGGGAAGTCTCTTCAGTAAGAAAAGGGTGATATCCTTTAACCAGCCTATATTCCCCAGCAGTTATGTCTCACTTTCAACTCTCTCTTTTCCCATATTTTGTAAAGAACTGAATCTTTATTTATGGTTGCTGTAAAATAATGTTATTTCTGAAATCTCATATTCTCCCTGGCTTGCCATTTACTGGAATGCAAACCAAGACTATTTCTCCTTCAAGTCTGAAGACTTTACAGGAGCAAGCAGCCAGCCCCGTTCAATCCAAACGGGAGGGCCTTCCCATGACCCCAGACTCCCAAGCCTATGGAGATGTTCTGGAGCTCAATCCTTCATGAAAAAGATGCCAAAGTTTACACTGAACTCAGATATCCTTCCCATATCCTGCTGATAACAACCTATTTACAGACACCACCTGAGGCAATTGACAGTGTCCCTCAAATACAATGTAGGGTAAGCCAAACAAACAAACAAGCAAACTGGAAAAAAAAAACCCACCACAGATAAATGGGAGAAAAATCCTACCTAGTTCCAAAGTTACCAACATAGCTTAACCTGCCACATTACCCTCAAGATGGGAGGTCCAGGAAGAAAATCCAAAAGCAGCTTGTGAAGAGGTGGCCAGGCCATAAAACTCCTCTTGCTCTACCTAGCTCATAAGCTACATCCTGGCCTCTATTAGGCACCTGGTTTCAGGCATGCATCCTGTTTTGTGTTATGAAGTGACTAATAAATGTAATGCATAGAGTAATACATTATATGATAAGCCATAATTTAATGAAACCAGTAATGCATGTGGCCTGAGGCCTAAATTTAGCTGTTGTTGCTGCTGTTGTGTGCCTTCAAGTCATTTCGATTTATGATGACTTTAAGATGTACCTATCATGGGGCCTTCTTGGCAAGTCTCTTCAGATGTGGTTTACTATTGCCATCTTCTGAAGCTGAGAAAGTGTGACTTGCCCAAGGTCACCTAGTGGGTTTCATGGCTCAGCCGGGATTTAAACCCTAGTCTCCAGGATCATAGCCCAGTGCTCAAACCTCTACACCACACAGGCTAATGCTGGCTAAAATAGTCCCACTAGATCAGAGGTAGGCAACCTTTCCCCTTTAAGGGCTGAGGGACTTCAGCTCCCAGAAGCCTCAGCCATGTTGGTCAATAGTCCCATGTTGGCCAATAGCTCCTGGGATTCTGGGAGCTGAAGTCCCTCGGCCCTTAAAGGGGAAAGGTTGCCTACCCCTGCACTAGATCAATAGCATTTACTTTAGTGTTGACATCAAAATTCAGCAATTGATTCAATATTTCTGTTGTAACTGGGATTACCAACAGCATATAGATCTTTGTGTCATATTTCCAATTTATAGCTTAGGGGTGCATAACTTGGGGATGCATGACTATCATCATTGTTCAGTAGCCAAAAAGAAAACAATGAGCAAACCCTGGTACTCTCTGCCTTTCACACTTGCATTGTTCTCTGTATATCAGTTAAACATTTTTAGATCACATTTCTTCACTCTCATATCTTTTTAGAGACACTTAGGACTCAAAATTGCCTTTGCTTTGCACAAAAACTGTTTTAAAGCCCACATTATTGTCTTGCCACCATTAGAAAGCCAGGTCATTGGACATTTCATTCTGTCTTTCCTGGTTGATGTTTATTATTGATGTTTTATTTCCCATCTTTCTATTGGTTATTGAACATGTTGCCATCTGCCTGTTTTGCTCTGTTGTGAAACATTTTGAGCCTATTACTCATGGAAATGAGATATACAAAAAGGTGGGATACAAATCTAGCAAATAGAGATACCAGAAAGGGGTTTGCCTTTGCCCTCCTTTTGCCTTTCCAAGGTCAAGCAGGGATTCATACCCTAGTCTCCAGAGTCATAGTTCAATGTTCAAATAACTATATCATGCTTTATGTGGATTTGACAGCCAGTATGTTATAGTCACTTGAACATTGGACTATGACTTTGGAGATCATTAAGGAAATGCCTCCTTAAAGTTTATGTCTTAAGGTATCTATGATTCTCTATAGATTAAGGCTTTTCTGGAAATCATTACAGATGATTTCCAGCTACCTCAAATTTACCATTATGAGATAAAATCAATAAGGATATAGTGGCATCTCATCACTAGAGGCTTTTGCATGAAATAGAGAGAAGGATAAAGGCTAGGTCATCTTATTTGAGTTTACACCTAATTTGGAAGGGATTTCTGCCACTGAAATTCAGTGACTATGCCTTCACAATAACTATTAGTAGAATGTTACTTTTCTATATGTGATGAGGCTGTAGATGATCAATATCACTATTTAATATATTTCTCTTTATATTCTGAACCAAGATGAACATTTTGGTAAATGATATCTCTAAATATGATGATCAAGCTAAAATTATTTATCATTTAATTTTGAACAATGTGTGATAGAGTTGTGCAATTAGTTGTGGTGGCCCCAAAGCTGTGGAAACATTTTGTGGAAGGTAATTTGATAAAATACAATGATGGATTTATTTTCAAGCTCAAAAAGCAAAACAAAACACACCCTGTGATTTTAATGTAGCATTTTTGGTGTGTAATATTGTTTAAACAGCATCTCTTAGTACATTTTGATGGAGTTTTAAGTGCATTTTTCTGAATTTTGGTGTGTGCATGAATTCCACATGACTCCAGATGTACACTGCAATGAACTTCAAGTGCCACCAAGGCAAGACAGGCAGGTCATGCCTAGGTCACTTGGAAGATTGGAAAAACTTCAGTCGCCAAAGCCAGGCAGATAAGTGTGGGAGTTGCAATTTTTATTAGGCTGGGACCATCATCACCTCCATAATCAGAGGAATGGGTGATAATGGCCTAGATGTCTCACCTGATGGGCCAGCTAATGACTTAATCCTTTCTCATTCACCTTGAATATTGCCAGACCGGATTACCTCACCCAGGCAATCTCACACTTTTGCCCTGCAGCTAGTTTTAGTCCTTAAAAACCCCTAGTGTTGCTAGTTGGAGTTCATGGGGACCCTGTGTCACTGTGTTCTCTGATCTAGTTACCAGCACCTCTGTTCAAATCCATGCTCTCAGTTCTGCCTCAACATATTTTTCAAGCTAACCCCTGATTTCCTGAGCCTTGAATAAGTGCTTATGTGTATGTGAATTGCTCTGTGATTTTCCCCTTTAATAAATAATACTTTAATTGGAGAATTCTGTCTCTGCATCAATTCTTAGATCCCCCGAACTCTTGGTATACATGTGGGAGACGGTCTTACAGAGTTCTGGTAGCTGACCCCTTCTCAATTTGAGCTAAATAAAGTTCCTCTTAGTAGACTTTTGGCTACAATTCTCAGGTTTTTCACATTTATGGCTGATATGACCAGAATGGTTGACATAATAATAAAGTACAAATAGTATCTGTGAGATTGTAAAAGCAGAAAAAGAGAAAGAACAAAGTACAACACAGTTTGAGATGTACTCACAACTTTAAAAAAAAAAGTTCTAATCATAATAGTAAACTATAGTTATTGTAAAATTTGCTCAGAATCCTGTTGCTACATGATGTTAGCATAATGGTTCATCACACTGATATAGTGCACTTTCTGTAGGATTGCACAATGGCAGGTGGAAAAAGGGCAAAGGACACTTCATTGTTGCTGTGGAGAAAGAAAAAAAAAATCTGCCAGTTATTGCAATGGCTGGTTCTTGTGTGGGTCCTTGAAGTAGGCACACTGTTTTAAAGTATTCATTCACAAGGGAAGGAAATAAAATTAAAAATTTGTACTTATGTGAGGTACAGTGGACCCTTGGTATCTCTTGGTGTTTGGTTCCAGGACTCACCCCCCATGGATACCAAAATCCGTGGATGCCCAAGTCATATTAAGTATGAAGATGTAGTGGAATGGTGTCCCTGATATAAAATAACAAAATCAAGGTTTGCTGTTTGGAATACATACATATATAGATATAATATTTTCAAGCCATGGATGGCTGAATCCATAAATATAGAATCTGTGGATATGGAAGGGTGACTGTATGTGTACTGATTTCTTTTCCCCATTATATTACTTTTACAAATGCTGGCTGGAAACCCCCATGGCAGTTACAAATGTGTAACCGGGAGTTACACATGTGATGCATAACTACTTCAATTAAGTGGTTTTCAATATATTTTATTGAGAGTAGAAATTGATGAATTCAATTATTAATTTTTGAAAACATTTTTCTATGAGGATATATTATCCATTCTTCAGTTCATACTTCTTGGCACATAAGATTGTTTAAAATGTTCATAGGAACATTCTTTTTCACAGTGAGTATAATACATTTAGATGAACAGAATGCCTTCATTTTATTGTGTTTTTGAATGCAACTCACCTTTATTTCTATGAGAGCCATCCATGTTGGAAAATTCAATATGGTTTTCATCAGCCCAGTAGAGTCTTCTGTTGACATAATCTATTGTCAGAGCCATTGGTCTAGATATCTGTGTTTCTATCACAACTGTCTGATTAGAGCCATCCATACCAGCACGGCCAATGTGAGGATACTCACAGCAATCAATCCAGAACAAATATCTAGGAAACAAAATGAATAGCTATTCTGTTTGTTGGTTTTAAAAAGTAATCATTTTTAAATGTTTGTAAGTTTAGAACCAAGAACTGCTCTATTACTACAATACTAAGAAAGTGTTTAAGATATTTACCTTTAGGTAAATGTGCTTAGGTTAAATAAATGTGCTTTAGGATTGCTCATTAGTGTTTAGTACGTTGCTTAATTTGGAACTCACTGACTGTCAAAGTAGTGGGAAATGGCACATTGTGGACCAAACCACTCCTCAAGATTGCAAACATGTCCTGCCTCAAATCTTCACATCATATCACATCATCACATCATACAAAGCAGATAGTAAAAAAAAGAGTGCTCATCAGAGTGCTGAACACACACACACACACACACACACAAATACACATACATACAACTCCTTTCATTACTCCCAACACTGTTCTAGTTCACTTACAGTGGACGTTTTCACACGGGGCTCTGGTGGAGGCAGTCCTACCTCCCACCGGCCCCATTCCGGAATGGCTCCAGCGGCGGCAGGCTAATTCCTTTTAAAAGTCGGAATTACCTTTCCGCCGCTGAAGCCGGAGTTGGAGGTGCTGAGGCTGGAGGGACACTGGAAGGACGCCGGACTTAAGGCTCCGTGCGTTTGAACACACGGAGCTAGAAGCTGGACGTACGCAGGGATGGCACCGGAAAGGGCGGGGTTTTCTGCAACGTGCGTCTGAACAAGCTGGAAGAAGAGCCGGAGTGGGGCCGGAGGGAGGCCGGCTAGCGTCCTCAAAAAGCCGCATGTGAAAACGTCCAAGTGTTGATGCCGGTAGTGGGAAAAGTACTTAAAGAAATATCTAAAGGTAGGTACACTGAGGGAGAGAAAAGAAGGTCCATTGCCACTCTCCTGTGTGCTTCTTCTATTCTTGTAAGATTTTCCTCATCATTGTGCACTTTATACAAATGGGACAGGCATGCAAACTGGATTTTGAATAAAATTAATTATAAATATACTATTGGAATTTTGAAGTAAAACTAAGGCTGCATCCACACTTCAGAAATAATCAGGTTTGACACCACTTTAACTGCTATGGCTCCATGCTATGGAATCCTGAGATTTGTAGTTTGTTGTGGCATCAGAGCTCTGTGACACAGAAGACTAAATACCCTATAAAACTACAAATCCCAGGATTCCATAGCATGGAGCCATTACACTTAAACTGCATAGATTCTGCAGTGCAGATGCAGCCTAATAAAAATCTCTTACTAGACAATCCTAAGACACAAAAATTGCATATTTAACTTATGTAGTTCTATGGATTTAGGGAATTAAAGGCAGGAGGAGGAGGAGGCAATCTACAACAAATCTGACAGCCTACTAGTTTCTAACTAGCCCCTCTTTTAATAAAACAAGATGTGGGGTGCATCTTGTTTTGGAGGGGATCTGCGCTTCTGAACATTTTTCAGTCTTGGTGGGGAGAAATGGTGATAGCGGTAGCTTCTGGAGAATGAAGAGAA